AAAATACTACCATTAAATCAGCAATCCGAACTATGGTGGGAAACTAATTCAGCCACATAATCAATAATTTCCGAATTAAGTATTGGTTCATCATTTTTGTATAAAACCGGAATAGAAACCCCTCATTTCCTTTGCCGAGAAATACACCAATCCTCCCGTGCTGAAATAATTGATTTCATTTTTTCTCTGGTCCAATTTGGATATCAGTCAACTTTTTCAACATTCTCCAATAACTCTTTTTTGATGGCTTCTACTTTAATAAATCACTGTTTAGTTAAGCGATAAATTAAAGGACTTTTATCCCGTCAATCATGGGGATAGCTATGGCTAATTACTTCTTTTTTTACTATTAAATTTTTCTTTTCTAAATCGGTAATTACGTAATCATTTACTTCTGTGTAATTCTTGCCGGTTATCTCCGGAATTACAATTTTTTCGTTAAAAGTTCCATTCGGTTCAAGCGGACATTCAATTATCAATTTTTCTTTTTTTGCTGCCATAAAATCCTCGGCTCCAAAAGCCGGTGCTAAATGGACTATCCCTGTTCCTTCTCCTTCCTCAATAAAATCGCTCCCATCTGTAATATATCCTTTAAGGTCTTTTCGATAAGGATGAATATAATATTTACCTAATAATTCTTCCCCATAAAATTTTTTCTCTATTTTTGCCGTTTTTCCTCATTTGTCTAATAAGTTAAGATTTTTTTCTAGAATTATTAAATATTCACCATTGCACTTAACCAAAGCATAAGTAGCAGTTTTTTTTATGGCGATTAGTTGATTAGCCGGAATGGTTCAGGGTTGGGTAGTTCAAACCAAAAGATTAACATTTTCTTTGCCAAAAACCTTTTCAGTCAACTTGATTTTAAAATAAAGAGAAGTATCCTTTTTTTCTAAATATTCTGTTTCGGCTTCGGCCAGGGCAGTTTCATGTCCGCAAGACCAGTAAATTGGTCGAAAACCTTGATAAACCAAACCTTTTTTCACCATTTCTCCAAAAATTCTAATTTGTTCGGCTTCGTATTCTTTGTCAAGCGTAATATAATATTTCTCATAGTCAGTAAAAAGCCCTAATTTTTTTAATTGTTCTTTTTGGATTTGAACCTGTTCTAAGGCAAAGTTATGGCATGCTTGCCGTAAGTTAATTTTTTGCCCTTGGTGAGCCTGAATCATTTTGTGTTCGATTGGTAATCCATGGGTATCCCATCCCAGCAAAAAAGGAGTATATTTTCCTTGACTGGCCTGAAAACGGACAATAATGTCCTTAATTAGAAAATTTAAAAAATGTCCGATATGGAGTTTACCATTGGCATAAGGTGGACCGGAATGAAGAACGAAAGGCTGATTATTTTTATTCTTTTCTAATACTTGCTGATAAATTTTTTTTTCTTCCCAAAATTCTCTAATTTTTTTTTCACTTTCCAAATGATTAGTATTTTTGAGCGGAAAATTAGTTTTTGGAAGTAAAAGAGTATCTTTAATTTTTTTACTATCCATTAATATTTTTTTGCTGGAAAAGTTTGCCTGTTAGGAGAGTTAAATTAGTTTTTATACTTATTCTGCCTCTATTTTTCTCCTTTTTCTAATAAAGAAAACTAGGGCTATAAAAACTAGTGGGACTGAAACTAGGACCCCAATACCAACATATTTCAGAATATTATTTTCGGGATTTTGGGTATTGTTCAGATTTTGTTCGTTTACATTAATTGAACTTTCGATTATTTCCCCAATGGCTACTTTATAACAATACTCATTGATTTGGTCTTCAGTCAGAGTAGCATCCCCCCCCACATTATATTTTTTTCTCATTTTTTTATTTCTAATTTCTTTATCGCTTGGACTTAAATTTTCGTATTC